TTTCTCCATCAGCACTAATGCCAATAAAATATAGGCTTGAAGTTCATAAATGTATATTAAGTTTAAATTACATATGATTTCAAGAAATTATCTACTTCAAAAAAATTACATTTGATAACAAATTATGTTTACTTGATAGACCAATTTCCACAAATCATTGACGTTTCATGGTATCAAAGCTTTCTGCTAGAAAGAGGTCACCTTGATATTTGCAGTGAATATATTTCGGTCTTGGCTCCACATTTTATCATTATTGATGTCTTAAATTTTCTCTTACCTCCACAATTTTTTTTAATCTACTTATTTTTATTATTTGTTTTTATGACTCTTACTGTCAACATATTTCACCAGTTTTCTACTTACTAAACAAAATGGTTCCGCCAGAATTTCATGTGTAGCCTTAATTTTGTAACTTTTAATGTACGATCTGTGCTATTTAGGTAACTCTGTATTTATTGCTTGTTTCTGTCACTGCCTACTAAATACATTAATGTCTGTGGATCTCTAAATTATAAGGCTCCTCTCTTCCCTTAAAATGTCAGGACTGAAGATGAAACTCTCTTCCTATTCCTTCACAACAAATCTAAATATCCACTTAGTAAACACTGGGAGATAATCATGGGCTTCAATCCAATCCTGAATTATCTGTCTATAATTTTCAGCACTTCAGGCAGTATCATCGCAGTAACACACATTGGATGCAGTTGTTTAAAAGACACTTTGCTTTATGAAAAAACACCAAAGCCACCACCACCAAAACACTCAGACAATCCTATGTGAGCACTGTTTGGCTACTCCAGTTCCACTTGCTGTGAGGTTGCTCACCCCACAGCCACCCCAAGCCAGGACTCATGACTTACTCAGGTTTGTAAATCTACCTCCTTGCTCATCCATTTCAATCCTGAGGAGGGGTCTGGATAAAAAAAACACCTTGATTGAAGGTGTTGAAGCCAGCCTATCCCACAGATTTGGACCAAAGCAAAGGATGTCCACACAACCGTTTCAACCACCAGTGTGGAGTAACTCCTGGGGGACAGGGATATGGCAGTAGCATCTTCATTTGTTAAAACCGGATTTAGAAGGTGATGTTCTTCCACACTCTGAACTTGTTTTGTTAAAACTTATTTGCGAACTTTTTCATTTGTTTACTGGATTTTCAAAAGTACTTCCTTTTGAAGCATCAGTTCTTTTTCAATGTGTTCCTGGTGGTATTATCTCACTTTTACATACACAGCACATGAGAAAGGTGGGTGTGAAATCTAATGGGAACTGATAGGAAACAAGATTCATATTAAAATTTCAACATAAGAAATGTCGCAGAAGCTCAAACATTCATTGTTTCCTCCTTTGACTTAGCTCTGTTTTTGCACACTAACTCTTTCAAGTTTGTTTTAAGAAGTTTTGAAATTGTTTGAAAAAGTTAGTCTGACTGCTAACCTTAGCATTTTTTTCTTCATCCTGCTTTTTCAATCTGTATAGAGGATTTTTTTTCTAAATTTCTAGCAGAGAGGGGGTTTCTTAATTCGACTTCGTTTCCCTTCTATGTTTGCATGAACTCAGATAACCTGAAGCAATTAGTCTTTCTATTTGTTCAAATTGTGTCTTCAAAATTTAATAGTAATCTCCTTATTTCTAAGCAATACAAATCCTTCTTTGACCCTTCTGAATTTTGGAGATCGTTCTTTCATTTGGATGTCCACCACTTTATTTCTCTACTCCTAGAATACTTTTAAGTATTGAGTGCTTGTTAGTGGGTGGTTTCAACATGGCTTGATTATTATCTATTACAGTACTAGTATAATTTCTTTTTATTTATTCTTAACTTCACCTTTGCTTTTTGAAATAATTTTAAATAATAATATTCAGACTTTCAGTAATGCCACAAACTTTGTTGTTCTTTTTCTGTCCCCAGGTAGTTACTGTAAGTTCAGCAGCTTGTATTTGCATCAGCACCAACTTGCATGAGATTATTTTGCAAAGTTCATATATAAATATGTACAATTCAAATAAGCATAGGTATTGATCTCATTGGGTTTGACTCCTCAGTGCTGTGAGTTTTCCTGCTTTGCTGTGGAAGTCCTTTTTTTATCAATTGATCTATAAAAATCAACCTTGTTTCTTGTAGAATGACGATCTCTTGGTTTTGTAAATCTAACTGGAAAAGTCTAATTAGAATTGGTGTGTGTGCGTCCCCAAATACCTTACACTGGTATTTTTAATAGTTAATAAATAGCTCTCAGAGCTGTTTTTCACAATTTTTTTTTCTCACTCACAGGCACTGGTTTGCCCTTTCTGGATTCTGACCCATACAGTGTTAACTTTCCCTCCTTCATGCAGTTTTGGGGTTTTTTACTGGTTTCTGTATCCAGAGATGTGGGACCCTGTGCTGTGGAGGTCGGTGTTTGCATATCAATAATTCACTGAAATAATCCCAGCCTGACTCAATATTGCAGTGGTGTTTTTTGCAATCTGGAGATGTGCAGCTGTCAGGATAATGCAAACTATCTTGAGAGTAATTGTACATGTAGAGGGAATCCTTTGATAAAATTAATGGAAATCACATTGCCTAAAGCCGCTCCCTAAGCTCAACTCTAATGCCTACATTTAGTTTTGATAATGTAACAAGTTCTTTTGAATTTACCCACCTTCTTTTTATGTATCCCCCAATTAAAGGTATTTTCCCTTGCTTGCTTAATAATCAATGAGGTTTCTCTGTGCAGCACATTTAATGTTTTTCCATACACCTTCTGCTAGTCTACCTGGGACATTGTGTTTTCAAGAGGATTAGTTGTGTTTGGCTGTGGAATGGAGCACAGAGGTCTGCCTCAAACAGGTACTTTTCTCCAAGCATAGTGTGGATCATCTCGTGTCGACCATACATGTAACATAAATTTAATAAAGCACTGGAACAAAACCACCCCTTTGCTACCACATGGCCACATTTACAAGGAAATTGAGGTGGGAGGTCAATTTGCACTTAAAAACTACTGTTGGAAATGCCTCGGTTCTTAAGTGAAAGCCTTTAAATCTCGCTTGTCTGATAGGTGGTAAGAAATTTACACTTAAACTGTCCAGGTCAGCTTCTGATTTGTACCCTGTTGTTGGAGAAAAGAAATTTCTTAGTCTTCCAAATCTGCTTGATCTGACCAACCATAGCATCGGCTCCTTTGTTTGAAATCTGGGCATTGCTTCTGACTACAGTAATTGTCATTGCTTTTTCTCCTATCTCAGTTTGAATATTGTTCCAAATTACTTGAAAAACACGTGTGTTTGGGTTTTTTGTTTCCTCCTGAAGAGTGGCATCTCACAAAATGGAATCATTTTACTTTAAGGCCTGATTTACTGATGCTGGTCTAACCAGAAATGTTGACGTTTGTTAGACCTTTCTAAACGTTAGGAATTCCCATTCCTTGCTGAAATAGAATATGTTTGCTCGTGTAATGATTTAAAAATAAATTAAAAAACCCCAACACGCTGACAACTTATTGAAATACATGTTGAAAATACTTTTTAAAACAAGTGTTAGTAAGACCTAAAGTTCACATCAAGACTAAACTGGATTTGAATTTCTGGGATTGGAAGTGCCATTAACTAGTTATTTAATTTCCTTTTTGATTGAAGTATGCAAGACTCAGTAAATGCATAATTGTGAGTGAAATGCAAATTAGAGTTGTTAGCAGAAATCGTATTTTTAATAAATACTTGTTTGACAATTAGCACTGTGATCTTTTGACACACAGAAGAACCTGAGGAGATCTGGGTTACCTTGTTGATTGATTGATGGTGTTGGGTTTAAAAGGCAACTGATGCTGGGGGAGATTGTCAGTTGAAAGAAGTGCTGCAGTGAGGGCGTGCTAATGTGAGTATATATAATTAGCACATGAGTAAATGAGACCTTAAAAACAGAAAGGGGGTGGAAGAGAGTCAAGGTTTTCCAAAAGATTAGGATATTTTTGTATTTTACTCATTAATGGTTTATTTTACACTCTCAAGCATTTGAGGTCTTCCTAAGAGCATTGAAAGTGTTGTAACCAGGCAACTTCACTACAATCACAGTTTTAAATTTCAAGTTTTCCTTACCCTTGCTTTAAACCAGTTTTCCCATTAATCCAATCCTGAAACCTTTTCTAATCACATTTCTCCTTCTGTGTATATCGCTGTGATCTCAGAACAAACAAAAAGAGTTTTCATTGCAGCATTGGGAGAAAGGTTCAGGTGCTGCTGGTAGCTTCCATGTAGTTTTTGTTGACAAAGGTGCTGCAATAGATCCTGAAATGAAGTTGAGTAGACTGGCTGATTGCTGATACATACAGTGGCATAAAATCAAATAAGACACACAGTGACCCTTGCTGCACAAAAAGAAGGATGTGTGGAGCTCAGCTTTTGCTAGGTGAATGACTACTACAGAAATGAAGCAGCATCTAGGCAAGAAGGGAAAAATGCTTCCTCTTAAAAAATTAATGCATAAAATTGTTGAGATAGTGCAATGATGTGGCAAGTCCAACATCCTGCACAAGTGCTTGTCTTAGCAGCATACAAGTAGCGGGTGTTCGAATAGCATGAAGTGCCTTTCTGTACAGTGAAGAACAAGCCATTAAGCATCAAATATAAAATGCAACCCCCTCTCTGTTCCTCCCAAATGTACTGGCATTTTTGAACTCCAGATTGGCTAGAAATATTTCAGTTTTGAGCTCTTGTAGAGTTTCTAAATACAATAGCTTCTGGTCTGTGTGACCCTTTAGTGTGGTTTATCGCTGCCTGAGGCAAGAATGGAAAAAACCCCCACAGTGTGAATAATAAACACAAACCAAGAATCAATAATGTATTTGTTAAAAAGACTAAACTAAGTAGATTAAATATGCCAGACACAGTATCTCGCTTTTTCACCCAACCTGCCCTCTAACTTTCTCCTACATATGTCTCTTGGGAAAAAAGATAAAAGAACATCTTTATTACCTATTTTTTTCCTTTCTTTTCCTTTCACAAGGAGTAAATATATGTTGTTTCAGCTGATTTTCTTTATGTGCTCCTAGGAAATCCTTGATTTCCCTCAGAGAGGAGATAAGAACAGTGCTTCAGTAGAAATGATGTCTGATTGTTTTGTTTGTTCTTGTACGGATGGCCTTCCCCAAGTACTCTGTTGGTTTTAGATAATCCAGCTAGGTCTTTGGGTTGCATCTGTCAGAGCAATTGAACATGGTGGAAGTGATTTAAAGGCTAGAGCTGGGCTGGCAATGCTGTCTGTGTTCTCTGTGTGACTTTGTGGTTTTTTTCTATTGCCTATGTGGGTTTGATTCCTCTGAAATTTCTCAGGCTTTTTACACTGCCATCTCCCTTCATTTTGCTGTGGTCCATTACACTCGTGTATCCCCAAGTTCTTTTAACTCCTGTCATCATGTTCTGCCTATTCTACCCTGATATTGCCTCTGTCAGATTCAGCCCCCCTCCCCAAAATCCTGAACCCACCTTGCAGCGAGACATTCTGTGCTCCCTCCCTCTCCTCCTCTTCCTCCACCTCAACCTCCTGCACTTCAGTATATTTTCCCTTCTCCTGTTGCCTGCACAAAGATCCTGTCAGCAAGAAGAAAGAGCCTCTCATAGCAATACCTCCCCTTGTTCTCCTGCCCAGTCTGCAGTGGCAGATGTATTAGAAACATCAGAGACTCAGCAAGGAGAGGCACGTCAAGAATATATCAGCTTCAGGGGAGCCTTCAAGTAGAGTCTGTAATCAATAGGAAAACACATTTTCATAGGGAACCAGGCTTTGCAAGGCCCAGGATCATTACTTTATTCCCACTGCTGAGCAGCAGATCTTCACTCAGTGCTTAGAGGCAGTGTGTGTCAAGGAGGGCCTGGGATAGTGTCAGTGAGGGTTAAGCATCACTGCCCTGGGCCACATTTTTTAGGAGAAAGTGCCAGTTTCAAGTGGAATTCAGAGTGTGTGGGTGTGTGGGGGTTGTTTTTTATCTCTTGTGGCATTAGCAAGGAACTTCGGGAAGGTGGGATTTATTCCCTACACTTTGTTTCACTTGAGAACAACAAGGCATTTTTATTTAAATCACTGGGTAGAATAAATGTTTAACCTTCTTGGAATTGTAACTACACTGAAGCCAATATCCCATTGCTGTGCAATTCAGTGTATGATGGGAGATTTCACAGTTGACTAGTGCTTTACACTTTGTTTCAAATTACTTTGGCTCTGTTATGTTGCCATCCTAAAAACCCAACTTGCTTGCTATATATGGCTAAGTAGAAGATGAAATACTCTGCATTAGGGAACTCATGTACACTTTGAAACCTCTTTCAATTAACATTTCTCTGTAGAACACTTGTTTCTGGAATAGCTCTTCTGGATATGGTGTAGAGTGTGTTTTAAGGAGAATGATGAGCTCAGGACAGCTGCATACATGTGTCTAAACAGCTGTGTAATTTACACATATATTGCACATACACTCTAATAGGTAGATTTTATAATTGCCAAACTACCTGCGTTAGTATATCTTCCACTTGCATTTGCATTGTGTGTACTTTCTCTTACCAGAGGAGAATGCTAATTCCCAGGACAGTGAGATCTTTTCCCTTTCAGTGTTGTACCGGTGTCTTTCTGCTGTTTCCCCTACTATACTCAGCTTGAAACCTTAATGTTCCACATGGGCATTAGAAATTCCCTGACAGACAGAAAAGCTCCATCACACAAAGCAGTAAACAGCACACTATGATGCAGTTTGCTTCCCAGAGTCTCTGAGTATTGCTTGCTATGTTTTTTTTTTTTTTTTTACAAGACTACTAGAGAATCCATTTACCCATGATGTGGTTCCCCTGCAAGCCTACTCTTTCATAAATGCTGTAAAAATGAACCCAAAACCTTGACTTCTAATAAAAAAATGTACTGAGTGCTGCAGAAAAGTGATATTCTTGCACACATGCAGGTCTCTTGCAGAATGACAGGATGATAAATCCTTCAGCAAGGTACTCTTAGGGAAGCTCTGTTCCTCCTCAGCAGTCCAAGTGTTAATGCATTTGCACTAAAACTTCAATGCTAATACATATCAAATAACTCAGTATACTTGACATCTAGTTTTTCTTCAGGGGAATCTTAAGACCTGTTGGTGCAAACCTCTGCTCACACGACTTAAATAATTACAATGTTTGTCTGTATTCAGCTGACATTTTTAACACAATTATATGGCAGGTATTTTTCCAGTGATATCGATGTAGCAGAGTGTGAAGTGAAAAGTGGTGTGAAATCATGTGTTTCAGAGAAACAACAGTGACATGGTTTGTCTTGTATCTCAGCCACCTTTGGGTAACTGACCCCTGTTGAGTGCAGCTGTGAGCCGAGTCCAGATGTGCAGCTACAGAGAAGCACCTGAGTTGTAGCTGCTGAAGGTGAGTTGCTGTGCTGATCAGACAAGAGACCCCTGTCAGCCAGCACAGCTGTGAGCACACGCCAGGGACCTTTTCTGACAGGCCAAGGCTGAGCAAGCTCTGTTGTCAAGAGAACCTGCTACTTACCTTGGTTTCACTGGCCTGTGTGAGGTTCATCATGTGCCCTGGTGCTAACACTGACTTAACCAGGGATCACCGAATTACCCAATGCACTTTGGTGAATAAAGAAGAGCTCTGTTATTTCAATTCTCTACCTGCTTTGTGTCACTGTGTCATAGCAGAGACATTCTTTTTCTTGCATTAGATGCTTCTTTTGAGTTCCTTTATTAACCACCTTCCACTGGCTGCCTCTGTCATGTCAGTTGAATGCAATTGGAAATGATTCTTCAGGAACTCCATGTAGTTTTCTGTTGTCGCTGAATTTTTTCACTCCAGGCGAATGTGAAGGCATGTCCCTTGCATAGGAGGAATTGAGAAACATATGATGTTTTCTTCAGGAGAATGTTTTGTTTATGCATTTTGAAAATTTCTCGTTATCCCTTGATGCTAATTAATTACTCCAGCGCAGTCCATGAAGGATACAGTGCATAGGTGCAGCTTTGTTTCTCAGGGTAGCAGAAAGGTTTTTCACAGTACTTACTTTCACTGTCTTTCCTAGAGTTACTTTTTGAGTGGACATCAAATAAGGTTTTCTCTGGCTGAATGAGTTCAATAAGACAAGGTAGGTTATTTAGCAGAAGATTCATTGCTCTTCTGTTTAGACTTCAATGTAGCTGATCCAAATGAGGGCACTTTCTTTCCCGGTTATGAGTTATCCACAAAAATTATCAAGGTAGCACCTTAGGTTGTTTGTCCAATCACAACATGACTATGGTTATTAAAAAAAAACCCAGAGAGAGAGGGAGATGAAAAAAAAAAAAGAAAAAAGCTCAAGAATAGCAACACAACAAGCTCATTGGTAGAATACAACCATCTCTTCTTCCAAACAGGCTGGATTTATGATGGTAATGGGAATCAACCTAGCATGAGTGAATTCATTTTGACTACTAAAATACACTTTTGACAAGATGATTATATGGGATCAGTTGCAAGATTATACTGCTCATTTCACAGCTGAAGGACAAGTGGATGTATTGAGTTAACCCTACCTCAGGCATGCTGGGCTGTGCATCTCATTTGTTTCCTTTCATTGTCATAAGGCTGAAGGACTGTGATCAGGGTGTTGTCAATAGCTGGCCTTAACCCACATGGCCATAATGAAGCACAGTTATTTACATGTCTGCTGTGATTCAGAAAGCATTTGCAGCACCGGTAGTAATACTGGGTTTCAGAACAAGTATGGAATAAATGCTTAGTGCCTTTTTTCTTTTCTTTCCCCCTTCTTCTTTCCCTCTTCTTCTTTCCCTTGGAACATCTTTATATTCCATACCATCTGGTGCTGATGATTCGACGTAGCAAGTGCTTGATGCATGGTGGAGATACCCTGTCATACTGACTGCAGAGATGGCCTTCAGTACAGTTCCACATTTTGAAAATGTGACAAGCTACTATTTGAAGAGCATCATTTATAGATCAATAAACATATTGGCAAATTTATAAACTTAATACATGGAAGTTATTCCACTTTAACAGTCCTGTTGATTAAGGAGTGGGGCTCGGGGTTGATTTTAGCACACAGGAACAGTCTGCAAACTGTTACATCTTGATATATGCACAAACATGCCAGGGTAGATATTTTTTCTGAGAAAATATGAAAACACATAATGAGTATTTGTGTTGATGTGCATTTGGTTCTTTTCATGGTTTTCTTCAAAATGAAACCATTAAAACTGGCAAATGAGAATATTAAGCCTGTGATGAGCCTTTTAGAATCCACAGAGAAAGGAGCATATTTTTTAAATGAATAAAAACCTGCCTAGCACTTAGTCTGCGCTAACAAAAAATGATACAGACCTTTTTTTATCAGGATGAGTTGATTTACAGAAAATATTAGGCATCTCAGTTAAACTGACAAATTACAACACTCACCCCTGCAGCTACTGAAGTGAGTTTCTGGATTGACATTTGCTTGTTACTGTTATAACCTTCCTGTTATATTCTGTTACCATCATCGTCTGCTAGATCATATTGAAGGTTGATTATTTAGTACCTATGTTTTGTTAATGGGCTTTTCATGGAGAGGTGGCATTATCTGATTGTAAGTTAAGCATTTTTAGTAAGATGCAGCACTGGATTGAGCACAGTAAAAGAGGCAGATAAAGCTACCAGCATCTCCATAGAATTTGGAGTTCCTGAAATATATTTCTATTGGTTTGGTGTCACAAAATCCTTGTTGCACTGTTATTCATTGAAGAACATTGTGCAGGGCCAGGAGTTGGACTTTTATTATCCTTGCGAGTCCCTTCCAACTCAGCGTATTCTCTGATTCTGTGAACTACTTGTGTTCATTTTTCAGATACTGGACAGACAAATTAGGCACAGAGTAAGAGAAACTCATAATAGAGTGAATGTTTCTCCTCTGAATCCCCTGAGTACAAAAGGCTGAGCATTTGCACTAGAGTGTCTAACAACAGGGAATTCATTGCACTTTTTCTGTACGTTGAGGAAACAGGGGAACTTATGTTCTTACCAGTTGGTTTCAGGGGAATAAATACAAAATGTAATGGGAATGTCAATGTGTATCTCTAGTTACTGTCTTAGTTCTCCTCCACACTCTTCTCCTCTAAAACTGCACATTTATATTGTATCAAATATATCAAAATAATTCTGCCAGGTCTTATCGTGCCTTCTCTGGAAAATTATGGCCATGATGATTGCAAGAACTTGCACAGCACAGAGCTTGTTTTGCCAGCCATTTCTCAGGTCAGGGTTAAAATTTCCAGGAATAAAGTGGTAAAGTCCTGGAAAGAGTTCCAGAACCTTGTAAGTTTGAAGGCCTCTTAGAGTTTTCCTAGGCTATCACTGTAATATCTGTGCAAGGACATACCAAAAGCAGTAGAGTTCAGATGGAGTCTATGTGATGGTAGTAGGATGGGGGTTTTGGAGTATGGAGGCATAGTCATTCAGCTTAGGGAGTGAGTGATGCAGTTGATATGTCTATAAGCAACATGCAAAGAGGAGAAAAGGAAGTTTCCACATTGAACTGTGGCTTGGCTGATGCTGGTACCTGAGTCAGTGTTAAAGCTAGTGATCATTTTCTAAAGGCATTACCATGTCTTTCAAACCATGCAGGGCTTTCCACACACCCCCGTTCCTCCTGACTTACCAGGCTTGCACCCACTGTGGCATCTGCTGTGAGGAGTAAAGCTGTATTTTAAAGGAGGTCTCCTGAACTGGAGGGTACCAGAGGCAGTGGCTGCTCACTTCCAGGATTTGCTGTGCTTGAGAGGTTGGGATCTTGGTAATGGATGGTGAGATATGATCAGCAGGCACTGCAAAATGCAGAGGGTGGCAGTACAATTCTCACTTGCTGGAGCAGCTCTTCAGGAGCCAGACACAGTCTGTGCTGGTTTTGTGGTATGGTGTGGTTTGTTGCCAAGATTTTTCCTGTGCCGGTGGCGAATGTAGAAGCCCAGTCCAAGTTGGAGACCTGTGTCTGTGGGTGGGTAGAACTTCACCGTGCACCTGTCCATGACACAGAAGCAGGACATACAACCATCCCTTTTTCTCCAGCCAGATAAACGCAGAGATGTTCTGTGGAGGTACCGCTCATGGCTAATATGTGCCTTTTTGTGCCAGTGTCCTTTTCAGTATGCTGGAGGAGCACTCACTGCAGTAACATGGGCCAGTGTCACTCATTACTTTACCTGTTTTATCTTTTGTGAAATTGAGCCTTTAGCCAGAATTGCCTGAGCTGCTGCTCCAGCAGTCGGTTAACTGTGAGGCTCCTCGAGCTCATTTCTCTCAAGTAATTTGATTCCCACGTGCTCCCTGAGATTGCTTTCTTGCTGAAAGGAAAGGGGGATGGGGGTGTGGATGGGAGCAGACCAGAAATGTTGTGGCAGGCAAATGTAACTTAGAGACAAAAGCAGTGCAAAAACATGTTTTAAAAGATCCCATCTCACTTTATCTTCCTGTAACCCGGTCCTATAAACCAAAATGTTTTTCTGGTCAAGAATCAGAGACACAGAGTCTTTTGTGCTGGTGCAGGGTATGGAACAGGAGGCTAAATTCCATCCTGCTTCTGCATAGAGTCAGTAAGATAATCCTTTCCTTAAGATTAGCAGAAATGCGTGTAAAATGCTAATTAGATTGTTATTTTTGAGGGGTAACTGATCATAAAAGGCTCTTATGAATTTCAGCGTATTTTCTGAAACCGCACACAGAATTCAAGGCTCTTTATTTTGGTTGCTGAACTGTTTCCTTTACATCGTGGTGGCTTAGGAGTAATTGAACATCAGTTTTCTAGATAAGCTTCTATTTAAGACTGGTTAGTATGGCAGCCATTTTCTGAATAGTTTGCAATTTATGCAGAGGTTCTATACAATCACCAGTGCTTTATCACAGTTTTGAGCAAATACCCTGCTGCAAGGGAGTGAAAAACAAGCCTGAAAAGTTAATCTTGCTGGAAGGAGAATTGTTCTGAAAATAAACCATTCAGTGCATAAACAATGGTATATCAGTTGTCTGAAATACGCATTTGTCCTTCTGCATGTGCTCATTGTATGTCCAGGCTGAGCTGCCACGCTCAGGGTATGGAATCTGTGTGTGAGAAAGTCCCAGTTTGTTAGGTAGGATATTACTAATTTGAGCAGACAGTCTGCTTAGAGGTCTCTTATTTTATATGGATGAAAATGGGGCTGTTGGAAGTCCCTGCTTTGGGTTTCGTTAATGGCCATTGGTTTGTGTCATGAGACATATGCCTTGATGATATCAGCAGCATTATTAAATGTCACAGAAGTACATTTTCCCAGCAGCAATGGAAGTATATCCACGGTGACATTTGTACGGTCCAAGCTAATTTTCCATTGTGGGCTTTGTAAAAATGCTTTTAAAAATGTAAAAATCTGCTTCACTGAGAAGCGTGTGCAGAGGAAGCACATGCTAAATGTTGGTATTACACAAAGATTGACTATTTTACTTGCCGTTCTTGCTGGATAGTTGTCATCTGTCACTTCAAACAGTAACATGCTGCTGGACCAAATCCTTGTGGGGTCCAGTTGCAGGGAGTGTTGTTTTAGGGATGTGACTCAGTGGAGGGACTTTGTTTTGTTTTGTT